ACATCCATTAGCAGTAGCATCGATTTTGGCGATGGTGACCTTTGAAGCGTAATCGGGATTGTTCGCATAAAGTGAGGCTAATTGGTCGTACTTCGGTGCCAAACTATATATCGTTTCAATTAGCTAATGATCGTATTTGGGAAATAAGTGGTCGGGTGAACTTACGCCTTGCAGTGTCCACACCACGGGGCGTAAAACTCCAGTAATACGTCCTTGTCGTTATTTTTCACGATGTCGTCGTAGGAGCGAGCCACAACTACAGTAACAGGGCCCTCTTGAGATTCAGGAATCGGTTCGGATTTGATGCTCGGTTCGATTTTTCCGTCGAGAACATCTTGCACAAATTGACTGATGTCTTCTGCCACAATCTTTTTAGTCTGGTCATACGGGAATTTCGTCTGCTTTACTGTATCCTGAATGGCAAATGCGGGGAACTTCTCTGGATCGAGATTGAGATTCCCAGCGTGCGCTCCAAAAGCCTTCGCATCGATGGTAGCAAAGTTTATGGATCCCTTCAATTTCTTCGCGAGAGGCTTCAGGTCTGCAGCAAATTGCGTACGTTCTTCTGGAGTTTCCGCAAAAATATACGCGAGTGGAATGCCAGCCTGAATTTGACGAACCGCAGGGCGTCAGCTAAACCTTGGCCTGGGCAGAGAGAGAATGGGGCAAGATCACATACCGCCATGTATCCAGAGTACGTTTCGGGTCCTACCTCACCAACGAGAGGGGTACTAGAGGTTCTTACGAAGCGCGTCAAAGCATCCTGGTCAAATTTGCTGGTGAAAACATCTTTCCCTTCATCGAAGTCTTTGTACAAAACAACTGCTGGCTGGGACACACCCTCGGCCTCCGCCATGGCGACGTCATTAGCACCTGCAAAAAGATATTCGTCTCGCAACGCCTCGGCAACCGAAGTAAATGTTTCATTCGATGCCTTGTCATCTTCTTTAAAATAGCCAATGACAACTATTTTGTCTAAACTTTTGACCGCCTCAAAGGTATCAGGTGTTACTTTTGATACTGCTGGAAGAGATTGTTTGATCATGTAGGACACGATACTAGCGGGAATATTAGCTGCGTAAGACTTTGAGAGACAAAAGGAACAACTAAAACATACGATTGGGATTTCCTAGCACCGTTATACGGTTTAGGCGAGTCCAACCCGCGGAAAACTTTCAGTGTTGGATAGCCTTCGACTCCATATTCTTCGCACAAGCTGGCCTCCTCAGTGCAGTCCACCTTCACAAGTGGGATATTCTTTTCCTTTAGCTCCGATGCAGCCAACTCGTACTCGGGAGCGAGGGCTTTACAGTGGCCACACCATGGAGCAAAGAATTCAGCAAGAACAAGGTCGTGTTGCGTGACAAAATCTTTGAAAGTATCCGTTTTCAAGGACTTAACACTCGACTCTCCATCGGTTGCAAAAGCACATCTCGCCAGAGATAATCCGACAAGGCCAAGGGTTAGCTGGCGCAACTGATACATTGTAACAAACCAGCACCAGTGCCTGTTCAGTTGCCAAATTTCACACAAGATAGTTGGGGTATGATAGTAAAAAACAATTGAGCAATTGATCGGGATATCTGTCGAGGGGAAACACGAATTTTAGATTTGGTGGCCAAGGAGTGGGGATTTGGTTGTTATAACTTTGTCCAGGGGATGGGGAATGGATGAGGACAGATTGTTCTTTTCGTGTGGAGGCTGAACGCTCGTCGATTATTCGGAGATCTCCAACCCAACTCAAAAGCGGAGGAACCACTTATTTCTTGGCAAGATCTGTCCTCTCCTGAAATAGATGTGATTTTGCCCACATCAAGTCTTGGAGTCTCTGGGTCAATAAAGCTTTGTTTTTTTGTCCAGGAGTATGTATGGAGTACAGAGTAGCCACATAGCAATCCTCTGTAACAACAGACAGTTTTGTTCTGCTAATAATGTTTGCAAAAATTTTGCTATTGTACAGTACATCCATGTAAATTCTCCATGATCACTAAAAGAGTGTTGCACGCCAATCATAGTTTGAAATTCATTATTAAAATGGTGGAAGGAAGAAAGGATAACCTCCACTTTTGGTTCGGAATATACTCATAAGGAAACTATACATGCCCAGCAAAACAAGGCTCCAAACAATAACAGTTGCTTGCTGTGTTTTGGCTTCAGCAATCCTTGGTGTTTTGATGGCCAATGCTATCACGGTGAAAGACAGAAGTCCATCTTGAATGGGTAAATGTTAGTTAACAGATATTCACGTTGTCTCAATAGACCAATAGAACCAGAACTTACAGATTGCTGCAATAATTTGACTCTCCAACCCAAATTGGTTTGCAAACCCACCAGCAAAATAACTTATGCCTCCCTTCCCATCACCTGTGACATATGGTACTTTCCGAATATGGTTGAACATATGACCACTTGTGAAGAGAAGGATGGCAATCAAACTTATAGCAGCCCACACATTTCGGTTCTGCAGGATCGGCAAAAGGTATGGAGAAGCAATGGTGAAAACCGATATAAGAACAAGAATCAATGTAGTTGTTCCCAAAATTCGAGAGTAGTTTATAGGGCGGATAATATCGGGTTTAGGACCTTCAGGAAGGTGACGGCTCATCCAAGCATACAATTGGTCTGCTGAAACCGGCCTTTAATTGTTCAGAATAGTGCTTTACCACATCATGGACATATCGCTCACTTACCCACTAAAGTCATATCGAAGAGGTGAGCTGTCAAGTTTCGCTGCTTGCCCAATTGTTGGAGGGAAAAGAAGTAGAACTGGGGCAGTTTGGAGCATGAGCTAAGTTGTGTTTAGCCAAATATATCGTCCAAGTTACAAAAACCATTCCCGTACCTGCTGAAAAGCTGCTTTCCCTTGATCAAAATCCAGTGTTCCAAAAAGTAACTTCGTTGTAGCATACGGAGCAGCTTTGTTCCAACTCTTAGCTAGTAGTTCCCACTCTGGCTGCAAATCCCGACAGATTTGGCACCCATAACGGGGTTCAATTGCCGTAAGCAAAATGGCAGCGTGATAGTCGCGTGGTTTTGACACAATATCACTGTAGCTCGAATCATCAAGTGGAATCGGCAAATGAGATTTGGAACGTGATTGGTACTGAGCAAACTTATCAGGAGCGCGAGTCAGTACACTAGCCGGGAAAAGGGCAGCTAGACTGAGGAGGAACAAGTACAATCCTCTCGTTGTAGTCATATCGCCGGTGCCTTTTAACGACGTTTCCTGTAAGATGGCCGACCAGGTTTTGCCGGTGAATTTGGTGTTTTCCTTGGGACCACGGTGGAAGGACCGCTCCGCTCCACAAAGTCAGGTGAGAGCCCGCTTCGGCAAAACGTAGCTCCGAGTCCGGGCATGAGACCTGGGACCTAGGTCATCGGGCATTCAATCCCAGGTCATCCCCGCAGTGCAGACGGTGGTGTGAGGTTATTGAGCACTCCGCACATACACCAGAACCCAGTTTACTCCAGAGTGTCCGTACCTCAGCTGCAAGCTCGGATATGTCAGGCGAAGACACCCAGCTGACCAATCTGCTTCTGCGGTGATTTGCCATCCTCTCTGGCCTTATCTACTTCCAAGACGGGCCTCCACGATATTAATTTAGACACCGTCTAATTTAAAGAAGAAAGTATTTCGGGAAAATATCTTTGAGACCAAGCTTCAAGTTTCTAGCCCTCCAAGTGCGTCAGGATGCAGTTTACGCCATTTATCTCCGACATTGAGATACCATTTTACACTTCCCTTGCATCGCTTAAACTTAATCATGATAAACTGGATGATTCAACGCGCAAGGTCCTAGGGTTCTACGAACTGCGGCCCTTAGATCCACCGGAAACATCATGTCGGATGCACATAGCCGGAAATGCTTTAGTCACCGATGAGTGAGTCGCGCCGAAGTGTACGTTATGACCTCTCCTAACTTATTTGCTAGTGTCCCACTGGACGCTTTTCGAGCTGAAGGCGTAGTCAAAAATTTCAATACTGCCGAGGACTATCGCGCCGCAGATAAAGCGGCATTACTTCGCGAAAACGGGAGGAAAGTAAGCATGGATCGGGGAAGACACTGTTGCCACATCTGCTAATCTAGGATGCTGTTTAAGATTTGGGATGCGATAACGGATGGCTCGATTTATTCCTCCCCGTCTCTTCTTGCGTCATTCCTAATATTATCGTTTGCGGACCTTAAAAAGTATACGTTCTCTTATTGGTTTGCATTTCCGGCAATTCACTCGAATCCCCCCTGGGTTGCCGAGCAACAATCACGCTCACTAAACATTCCAGAAAGAAATGCACTCGTTGATGCAGTACGAGCATGGCGTTATCAAGTGGACAAGAAGCAACACGGCTTTTTCCTTGCTAAGAAAATTCGACATATTAGTCCTCGGTCACCTCCGAAATCTAGCACTGCCACTGATCCTGCATCCAATGTAGATCAACTTGGTCATGATTCATATCAAAACCCCCTTTGGGAGGTCTCGTCTCTTTCATCCTATGAAACCGGCTTTTTCGAAGACGTTGGAGCAGAGGATTGCTATGTTTGTTTTGTCGATCCGTCTAACTACCCGGGCGCACCTGGTTGGGTGCTCAGAAATTTGCTAATTTTAATACGGCAAAAATGGAAACTCGACCGTGCTCAAATACTTCGCTATCGCGACATTTCATCACCGACTATGGAACCCCAAAGTACGGTGTTGATTTTGAAATCTGAATCCTCCGTCAATCGGGACGGTGCGTCTGACCTGCAGCAATTGGTGATGCCAAAACTTAGCGGATGGGAACGCAATAACTCTGGCAAACTATCTGGTCGCACAGTAAATCTCACAGAGCACATGAACCCTCATAGGTATGCATTTCCATATTGAGGAAAAGAGAAAGCCGACTTACCTTTTGCATTCAGGATTGCAGATCAATCAGTGGACCTTAATTTGAAACTCATGAAGTGGCGCATAAGCCCTGGCCTCAATTTGGATGTGATTAAAGATACTAAATGCTTGTTACTTGGTGCAGGGACATTAGGATGCTATGTTGCAAGGAACCTGTTAGTAAGTATGAGCTCTCTAGTAATAGGTTTCTTTCTACTGATATCAACAGGCCTGGGGTGTTCGAACAATCACTTTTGTGGACAACGGTTCGGTTTCATTCTCAAATCCAGTCAGACAACCTCTGTATAATTTTCAGGATTGCCTTGATGGTGGTGCTAAAAAGGCTATATGTGCTGCCAAAGCACTCCTTGAAATCTACCCTGGAGTTTGTTCTAAAGGCCATGTTTTATCCATCCCCATGGTGGGGCATCCGATTGTTGACACTGACAATGCGAAGCATGACTATGAATGTTTGAAGGATCTTATTGATCAACATGATGCCATTTTTTTGTTAATGGATACTAGGGAGTCTCGCTGGTTACCAACTGTTATGGGTAAGGCAGCTGGGAAGGTTGTTATGAATGCTGCATTAGGCTTTGACACATTTGTCTGTATGCGTCATGGGACTACCGGTAAATCCAATGAGCCTAGCCTTGGTTGTTACTTTTGCAATGATATTGTGGCGCCAGCAAATGTGAGTTTCCCAGGCATGTCCATGTCCAGTTGCATATTCTAATGCTATGCAGTCTGCAAAATCACAAACACTTGATCAACAATGTACTGTGACGCGCCCAGGCGTTGCTGCCATGGCCTCATCATTATTGGTTGAACTTTTTATCTCAGTTCTTCAGCAACCAGATGCATCATCCATACCATCTTCACAGATGGAAGAGGCTCTACACCCTCTAGGCATTGTTCCTCACCAGATAAGAGGGTTTCTATCTACATTTTCAAATACTGTTGTCACTGGCCGCAACTATGAATTTTGCAGTGCCTGCTCAGATAATATCCTCCATACATTTATCAATGATGGCTGGGAATTCGTTCGGAGGGCAATTAATGAAACCGGCTACATTGAGGAAGTGAGCGGCTTGAAAGAAGTAAGGTCCTTCATACATTAACAAGACATCCAAAGTTGACAGTAGTAGGTTCAGCAATTGGCAGAAGAGGCGCTCGTATCATTGGAATTGGAGGATAGCGAGGACTCAGGAAGCGACCTTATTTGAGTATTGACTCTAAAGACTATATACATTGTCTTTTTGCTATCAGCAGATGCTGCACATAAAGGTTTTGGACTAAATAGATTATAAAATACGGCCCTTGGCTCTTAGGCCGACACAATAAATAACAACGTGCTCAGCTTTAATTAAATTTAATTGGCACCTCAAAAGGAGGTTCCCCGTCCAAACATACCACTGCCGGAATAAAAATGCCTCAAAATGTAGAAACCCAGTGTATGTGGTACCATGGGAGTTACGTACACGTCTCAAGGAGGTCATGTTGTAGGACCCTTAGCTTGCTTAGAAGGAATAGATTTCTCGGATCCATTTCCCGCCGCCGCTGACGAGGTTCGCTTTCTTTTGCGAACAAATGCATTCAGATCATTTGCCCCTTCAATAGCCTCCTCCAACAACACTTTATCCGAAGCGGACCGGACTTGATTGAGAATACTTTTTGCATTTATCTGGTCCACCCCTCGAGAGAAGTCCGATACTGCATTGGGAGGATTACGCAGATCCGTAAGCTGCCGGGAGGTTAGGCTTAATGCGATAGGACATAGGTTTCATACCATGAAAAGGTTGTACATACCCGCTGTTTCATATCGGAGACTATTTCCTTCACATCCTCTACATGTCGCTTTATTTTGGCCAGCTCTTGTACATCCGTGGCTTCAACAGCTTCCAGCTTTCTTTGTTCAATAGAAACCCTAAGCTCGCAAGATCGAATAGCGACTTCCATGTGCTTCGCTGCTTCTTCTCTCATTTGAAAATCAACTTGCGATGCTGCAGCGCTCCCGTCACTGCTCGGTAGAGAAACAGAAGAAAACTCCAAAGCCAACGATAACTTGTAGTGACACTCAGCAAGGGTAGAGTCCTCCAGCGGGAAGAGTTCGCTCTTAAGCTCTAATGCAGCGCGTAAATCGGAAACGGCATCCAAGAATCTTTCGCCCTCTAAAGATATTTCTGCTTGTAAATCATATATATCCGAGAGGCGTTCTTTTACCCTTCTAATGTCCAGAGTGTCATTCTCGCTTAGACAGGATGGTGAGGTGTCCAATTTGCGAAGGAGTAAAACACGTGCCATATCAAGGGTTTCAAAAGCATTCTCGAAATCATTGTCTTCGCTGGCTGGGTCAGCTACATCCTCGGTGCCCTCTTCATCTTCATCCTCGAAGTCTTCGTCCCCATTGAATTGAAAAAAAGTATGGCTAGCCGTATCGCTGCCGTTCAAACCACCGCCGTGTTCATTAGGCGTAGAGGCTGTTTGTTGCAAGAAGTTGGAAGCTTTTTCTCCATCTTGGCGTACAAGTGACTCGTGAACCGGCGCTGACCCTTCTCTTTCCTGAATCTGGGTCGACTCCGCCATATTTTGGACGGCAGCTCGAGAGCCAAAAACATCGCTCTGGCTCAGCGCAACGTGATAAAGGCACTTGCCATAGGAGTAGAGCAAATCAGCATTATCAATGGCCATTTCGCCTTTCAATGTAGCTTGTAATTCGGCTGCTTGTGAATACAAATCAGCGGCCGAATGATAATCCTTGAGAGCTGCTTTTGCAGCAGCCAAGTGGCTAAGCTCAGTCAGACGGCCCTCGTCAGAGGAGGGATTTGTTGTCTCTGCCATGATAAGGAATGGTCAGCAAGCAGAAGGAAAATGGGCACCAAGAGGTTGAATGAGCTATTTTGGCATCAAAGATGTTTGTTCAAGTGGCATAAAATGAACAAAGCATTTGCATCAGTTGAGTCAACTCAAGAGATTCTCGTATATTGGCACAGAGGAGTGAAATATAATGGAAATTAGGAGTTTGGTTTTTGATAAGAGATGAATTGCAAAGTCAGTTAATACAGAGTTTTGACTAATCAGCTGTTTGCTTTTCATGAGTTTATGGATTTCAAAGTCCACAGCAGCACTCTATAAGGAGTCTAGAGTATTAACTTGAAAAGTTCTTAGTTAACTAAGTTAATGGGATAGCTAACTAGTTTCTGCCTAGTGTGTGGAGGAGTTGGACCCTGTAACTAAGGAGTCAATTAGGTTCAATCACAATTGACCAGTTAATTTGTCAAGCAGTTGGAATCGCGTCTCATTTCCATTCTGCAGCCAGCAGGCCCCGTTGGTTAGATGGACACTCCGTACTGCTTTACATAAGCAGTCTAAGCCTAATTGAGGAAAAACCCTTGCTGAAATGGACACCTCTTGCTACCTTACATAATTGCCCAACCTACCACTCACCCACCCAGCGGCATCATGCTCAACAAGGCCAAACCCTTCAAATCTGTGATAATAAATTACAAGATTGAGATTTTTAGCACAATATCTGTGAATATACTGTTCCCTATGTCATTGCCGGTCATCCTGTGATAGGGGTACTCTGTCGGAGTACTCTGTACATATGGCGGGCGGAGATGGCCCCGAGAAAATCACAATGTCGGGTTATACTTACTCCATGCCGGGTATGCTTATATAATAGAAATTACGCGCCAAGAGTTGAAAGGGGTGTCCATTTAACCAAGAGTTATTGCTTAATTAGGCTTAGTGCTCTGATAAATTGCTTATGTAATGCCGTTTGGGGTGTCCATCTAACCAACGGGGGTGTCCATTTAACCTGACCCCAAAACACTTGACTTCTTAAACCCATTTCTGTTCAGACACCAACAATCCCCCTTTCAATAATATCCTCAAGGGCCATCTCACTATGCCTACTTCCAACAGCCTTAAACGACATGCTACACATTTATCAACTACTGTTGCCAGCACGAAACGGTCCAAACCCAACCAGACAATCACATCATTCTTCAAAGCATCAACTGAAAAAGGCGAAAATGATTCTAACATCGGGCCTGGTCTCGCGAAATTCAACAAAGAAGAATGGGTCCAGTCATTGACTAGCGAACAGAGAGAATTGCTGAAGTTGGAAATTGACACACTGGAAGACAGCTGGCTTGCTCATTTAAAGGATGAACTTCTAACCAAGGAGTTCTTGAATTTGAAGCGATTTCTGCTCAAGGAAATAGCTTCAGGAGTCGAAGTTTTCCCTCCTCTTTCTGATGTTTACTCTTGGTACAAGTTTTCCCTAAATCTGCTTCCTGTCCCGACCTAAGCTGATATCATCCCCTGAAAAGGTCGAGGCACACGCCACTGCATACAGTCAAAGCTGTGATCCTTGGCCAGGATCCATACCACGGTTATGGACAAGCTCATGGTCTTTGCTTTTCGGTTCGCCCCCCGACAGTTGCGCCCCCGTCCTTGCAAAACATATACATCGCACTTAAAAAAGACTACCCTGCTTTCCAAGCCCCACCAAACAAAGGCGGCCTCCTCACCCCCTGGGCCAATCGGGGAGTTTTGATGCTCAACACTTGCTTGACTGTCCGTGCTCGTTCTCCAAACAGCCATTCCCAGCAAGGATGGGAGCACTTGACACAAAAAGCCATCGACATAGTTGCTAAAGTTCGATCTCGTGGTGTTGTCTTCCTTGCCTGGGGTAAGCCAGCTGCAAAGCGCGTTGCCAACATAAACCGTGAAAAACACTATGTTTTACAATCAGTCCACCCCAGTCCACTAAGTGCACATCATGGATTTGTAAGTGTCAAATTTAAATTCAAAAACCTTCCAAGAGTCAGACAGGTCACAGATACCCTTCTTAATACAGATGCTAATAAATACACTTTTAAAAGTTCAATTGCGGTCATTTCAAAAAGGCAAATGAGTGGTTAGAAAAAAGATATGGTCATGAAGGGGTTATTGATTGGACTCTGACTACACCCTCTGTCAACAACACAAAGTCTGTGAATTTTTGAATCCATAGACCTTTGATATGTGGTAGGAATCACTGGGTTGTGGTTAGGTATGTTATGGTTTGGTTCAATGTCATGTGACAGCACTTCTCATATTTGCCACATGACATAAGCAACAGAACATCAACAGTCAACTTTCTTTGCTGCCAGCTTCATCCTTGACATTGTCTGCCTCATTATAACCATCCATAATTACCTGCACTGCGAGTTTTTCTTACCAGCTTACGTTACGGATCATCGTCTACGTCGCCCGGCATCAGCTAAGATAAGGACCAAGAGTACGTTTGGATCATCTTCTTGATAGATTCACTACTAATTCATTTATCTGTTAGCCTACAATCATGATCTCTTTTCCTGTGGGCGAGGTATTGAAACAAGTTGGTCAGTCGATAAATCAGAATGAACCTGAGAAACGAGTCGACTTCGACAATCACATTGTCCGCTGGAATGAAGTGATACAGAAGTCCGCCGCAGTGCTTTGTGATAGCAATGGTGAGACAATGCTAAGGCCTCCAAAGTCTGCTAAGAAGAAGGAGGTCCTACGACAAATCGCGTTGGAGAATGTTCGTGTTTTGAATGAGCAAGATTCACAAAAGAGAGCTGGTTTGCCGATCCGGACACAATATAATCCATCATCGTTGCCAACTCCGTCACCTTTGTCTATGGAAGTACGGCAGAAGCTGAAAGAGAATCTTCCCTCACCTGAGTCGTTTCGTGAGCCGTACCCTCTACCTATACTAGCGAAACTCGAAGACAATGTTCTGCCTCTTGTGAAGGCCCAGTTGTGGCTTTCTCCAGTTGATGGGGAAGACTCCGAAGAAGTCCTACGTGATGTCGACATGATTTGGGATACCGGTGCCCATTATACTATTATAACTCTTGAATTACTTTCAGATTGTTTTCGCCGGAAGCTTGAAAGCGACGAGAATGCGCCGTATCGAAGTTCAGAGGGAACCACTATCCAAATCAATGCAAGCATCGCGTTGTCGAACAGTCCGATCAGTATCGAAGCCATAGCTTTGGTTAGACCCAAGTCAATGATGCCAAACAATTACATTGGTATCCTGTTTGGTCAACGCCAATGTATCAACTGCATTAGCCATACGCTAATCCCACAGAGGGTGCTGCGTGCTAAAGATGAGGATGTTGAGGAAGGCGTTTGGGGTGATATTATCTTGCATGACTATGTTGGTATAATGGGTGACATTGTATCTTTCTAAGCTTCCTATGAAGTCAATGTAAAGTGGGGTCAAGCATGCTGTTTCTGAGGGTGTTGACTTCCTATGCTTGTATGTCTTAAACTTTATATAGTTAATTGCTGCACTGCTTTGAAACTATCAGACAAAACTATAAGTTATTATTTATTATTATGATTATGATTATGATTATTATTATTCATTATAGTCTTATGCAGTTAGAGACTATGAAGACTATCTAACAGCTCTATAGGCTGTAGAATTTAACTAAATATACAGAAAAACTGATGATACAGCTTGGAACAAATGGTGAAAAATAAAGAAAAGGATAAGGACAAATGAAAATTCTTTCCATCACAGAAAAATAACTGCAACTGATTTATTATTTATTATTATTTTTTTCTTTTTAATTTTTGATTTTTCATCTCAATAATCACTATCTAGTGATCAGTTTTATTTCTTTAAGAAATAAAACCAACCACTTCAAATTCAAAGAAGTTTTAAAAAGAAATTTTAAAAATAGTTATGAAATATTTAATTTTTTTTAAATTTTTAATCTTGCTTTCTTTCAAACAGAATAATCAAGCAGTAAATGCTTTAAGTTTTCTTTACAGTTACAATGTTTGCACTTCTCAGACAGATAATTTGACAATCACATTAAGTAATAAGTAAAATAGTTATATTCAATTTTTAATTGAATAATTGTGAATTAAAGTCTTTTATTATTAATTTAAATTTAAATTAAGAATATTGATTTTCTTGACTTTTTTTATTAAATAAATCTTCAAATCATTCAACCATTGTCTGCTCTTTTATTTATCTCTTAATAAAAGTCAGAAATATATATTTTTCTGAAAGATTTGTGTCAGTTCAGTTTCTTTTTTTACAATTATATCAGCTTGTTCATTATTATAATATTAATATAAGGAGAAGTGATATGACCTCAGGCTAGGTGCAAGAATAGAAGAAGAAGAATTTAATACACTGTTATACTAGATACATTTAATTGAAAATACTAAACATGATAAAGAAAAGAGAAGTCTGAAATAATTGTGTAATATATATTCTCTTGTTCTGAGCTCTTGCTCTAAGTTTACTAACAGCAGTCATCTGAAGAATCTGATGATCATATGATCTCAAGCCTGACACTTCTTTATCACTCTGCATTAGACTCTAACATTATTCTCTCAGAAAATTTAATCATTTTTTTATATCAGACATTTTGACTGTAGATCTTTCTTTGTATTTCATGCTCTTGATAAGTTATTATTCATATATTTCAGTAAATTCTTCTCACTCTTTCATATTTCTAGTTATTTTATCAGTCATTTCAGAGATTCTGATTTCTGTGAATTGCTCTTGTAATAGTTTTTTAATTAATATGATGAGCTCTTCAAATTCTGCACTAGATATTATTGTGGATTATGATTATATTCTAATTATTTAACTTGATACTGCAGCTTTTTCTAATGAATCTAACTTGTCAGAATTTACTTCATTTTTTATTTATTTTTTTTATTAATAATCCACAGCTCCAGCTTCTCATACTCTTATTCTGATAAAGAATTTGTTACTGCCCAACAGAGTTTGAGAAGAATACAGAATGTATTTTTATATTTAATAATAATTTCAGACAATAGCTGTTCTCTATTTTTTTTATTATTAAGAAGAGTCTGATGTTCTGCTCTGTCAGTTTTCATCTTAAGTGATTTATTAAATAATTGTGTAGAGTCAAGTAGATCTGATTTTTTATCTCAAAATTGAACTTATAATAATAATAATTAATTTATTTTTTTTATTATTTTCTGAGTCTTCTGCATTCTCTGCTGAGTAAGCTTTTATACTTTCTTAAAAGCTTGTATTTGATTCTGTACTTCTTTATGATTCAAGTGCTTGATATGTGGTATTTCATTTAATAAAGATTGTCAGTTGAAGAAAATTTATAGCTTATAATTTTATTACTAGAAAGAAAGATGCATCTATTAAAGTATGCATTGTAACAGTTATAACATGATTCATAATGAGCAATAAGTTATTTTAATTGTCTTAATAGTGATTTACATATGATTGCAACTGAATTACTAAATACTAATTTCAGCCTGTTCATCTCTTTATTGTTAGGATCTGATGCAGAGTGGTGAAGAAGTGACAACATTATATTCTGTAAAAAAAAAGCTAGAATTGTAATCTGAGAATTAAAAAAAACTGAGTTGAATAAGTTTGAATACTGATTTTATTTCTTATTCATAAGTTTCTTGCTTCTCTTTTAAAAAATAAGAAGTGATTTTTCTCTGAAATTAACTTCACAGAAAACAGAGTCTGCACTTGTAGTTCACTTTACTCTATTTTTTAGATATATAGAGAATTGAGCTGTACTCTTTATAGTATGAGAATTTCTGATATACATTCTGTTAACAAAAGCTGATTTTATAGAAGATTTCTCTGCAAAAAATCTGATAGTTTGAATGATTTTTCTTTAAAAATCATTATTAGATTCTCTCAATTATTATTAAATATACTTATTCATTATTTTCTGCATCTTCTCATCTCATTAAGTTTTCAGAGTTATCTTTTATCAAACTGCTTGACTCTGTTAAGTTCAGAGAAATATTAAACTCTGATTTTTTCTGATTTGATTTATGTGAAAATCAATCCATTGTAGTTTGTCAATCTATTGAAAAAACCTGATCTAGTTTTCTAGATTTCTAGCAAGAAAAAATCTAGTGTTTTTTCTTGAAACATAGTCAAAATGCCTTCTATCTCTGATTCTGATTCTTTAATGAATTTCAGTAACATCAGTATTAAAAACAACAACAACAACTTCAACTCAATTAATACTGTCAACTCTACTACAACACTTATTGCAAACAAATCAGCTTGCATCTTCTTTTATTTCTCAATCACATTCTTCTTCTCTAATCTTCTCTTCTTCTCTAATCTCTTCTTCTTCTTCTTCTTCTCCTTCTTCTTCTTCTTCTCCTTCAATTTGAATCTTAAAGGGATTCTTCAAAAACTGACAATAAAATTCAAAAAGAAAAATCATATTCTTGTTCAAAAAAAGTTAAACTCTTGTGTTCTCAGTCTTCAAAAAATTCTCTTCTTCTACAAGTCAGAAGATATCTCCATTTTTTAGAATTCTTTAATTCAGAATCTGAAAAAAGAACTTGAAAAGCTTGAGAATGCAAGTAATAATTCTACTGTTATTAAAAATCAAATATTATCTGAATCTTTTATCTCTGTCTCTGCTTCTGCTGTCTCTCCTTCATTATTCTTCTATTTAAAAGTATTAAAGAAGAATTAATATAATAAGATAATATAATCTACATAGTCTTTAAATCAAATACTTCAATTAAAAAGAAAATAATAAAAGCAAATCTATTGAATAAAAGACTTGTGCTTAAAACTACTGCTGAGATCAGTAAGCAAATTCATGAAAAAGTCTACTTTATGAGAAACAGAATTAATGATGTTTTTATTAAAGCAAAATTAATCATTAAATCTCTAATTTTTACAATTGCAAAATTCTTCAAAAATCTTTCTATTATTCTCATAACTACTGATAAATTCTCTGCTGATTTTCTACAAGAATATAAATCTATCTGATAAAATGCTCTCTCTGACTTTATGGAATTTGATTTTAATTTCAAGAATTCAAAATCACATAAAGATAAACAATGAAAACTTTTTATTATTTATAGTATTCTTACTGAAGTATTTAATTATAAGACTGGTTTTTAATTACTGAAAGATGAAATAGAAATCTTTAATTTTATTATTTTAAAAAGATCATCTCAATAACTCACTTCAGTTAAAAATAGAGAGATAAAAAAGCATGTTTCTGTTGTTTATTATATTTAAGATACTGAGATTGCAAAATCTCTGAAGAAAATCAATATTGCTGATTTAAATTTATCAGTCTATCAGTATCAGAGTATCAAGCAAATCAGAACAAAAGCATAAAAGATGACTCAGATCAGAATTTCACCAAATCTCCACCAACTAAATACATCAGTTTTCATCAAGATTTTGATATCAGTTTGAAGCTCTCATCAAGCTCTATTATCATCTCTATTTTTAGTTCATATCTTCTTCTTGTTGTTGTGTTCTTCAACCCTTTTGTTGAGTGCTACTGCTGTCCATTGCAAAGTCAAAGTTTGCCACAGTGAGGCATAGTGATCAGAGGTGCACTTCATACTTTTTTTTTTTTTTCTTCAATAAGTGCATTCAGTCTAAGACTATGGCACTGTACTAAATGCATAAGATTGAGATGAGAAATCTCAACAATATTAATTATATCTCAACATATCAGTCAAAAAGAATAAGAAATTAACAAAACAATTGTAGAAATCAAGTATTCAGTCAATTTCTTCTTGTAATATGAGATCTTTCAAAAAACTCACATAATATCTTAATATCTTTTTCATCATATAATAAATCAGTTAAATTCAAAGTGAACTTCTGTAATTTCAGCTTCATTTCTTGATGATAAGAAGCCAGTTTGCTGCATGTCAAGAGCAAATATGCTGGTGATTGAATAGATACATCATCATAATTATATTTATCAGAATCATGTCAGTCAGTCTTTTTAAATAAGATTTAAAATAATCATGATCTAATTTTAGCTGCATATAAAAAGATGACACAACTTTGCTGATTTTAATCATCAGATTGTATAACTTTCATACAGACTTGATGTTGAGATTCTGATAAAATTAATTTTTTCTTAATATATATCACAAATTCTGTCATTCTTATAATAAACACTGCTTGATCTTTCTCTTTAGATGAGCTTGAGAAAAATCAATATTGTAAAATTAAGTGAAATTCTCAGATATATTAAGATCAGCTGCTGTTTTTGCTGCTATATCAGTCATTTTATTATCATAAATACTCATATGTGCAGGTACTCATGTTATATAAAGCTGAATGTTGTTTGAAAACAGCATTTCAGCTGATTGATATATTTTATATAAATATTTCTGATTTACACAAGCTGTATTTCTCTGAAGTTTTTGAATAGTAGC